TTAATTTGTTTAAATTTGTGTTAAAGGGGAGTTAAAGCGTATTATGGACTTGGTTATTTTAATAGTTGGTTAATGTTAGATAGATTTTGATTATTATATTTGTAACCCTGTGTTCAGCTCTGGGAAGTGGGGGAGGGTGAGGGTGGGGTTTTGGGGTGGGTATGGGGGTTTATACTGTAATCTTTATAAAACTTTTAATAATAATAAAAAAGGTGTGGGCAGAATTTGTGTGATTAATGGGAATATAAATGGCCAAAAATACATTAATGAAATACTTGAGCCCAAACCGAAGCCTTCCACACATGATCTTTTCCAAGACAATGAAGCATTTTTATTTCAACAGGATTCAGCTCCATGTCATGTTGCTGCTGTGTGCAAAAAGTGGTTTCAAGATAATCATATTCCACTGCTGGAATGGCCTGGGAATAGCCCAGACCTTAACCCAATTGAAAATCTATGGAGCCGACTAAAGAAACTTGTTAGTCAGAAGTGACCCAGCAATAAAACCCAGTTAATAGAAGCAATCATTCAATCTTGGTTTCACATTATAACAGCTGCAGAACTAAAGGATTTAGTTCACTCCGTGGGAAGACGTTGTAAGGCCATAATTCATGGTAAAGGTTACCCAACTAAGTATTAACTGACATGGTGATAATTTTTGTATATCTCATTTTTTCTATGGTGATAATTTTTGTATATCTTGTTTTTTCTATGGTGATAATTTTTGTATATCTCATTTTTCTACATGTTTCACTTTTCTTCTTTATAACTGCCATTCTAATAGCAAATCCTTCATAAAAATTATTGCATTACATTCTTGATTATCTTTCCATTGATATATAATTTTATGGTACTACTCCAGCACCCTGGAGAGATATTTTTATGGATTTTATTGTCAAGCTGCCCGAAAGCAAGGAAACACTGTCATTTGGGTTGTCACTGACTTGTTTTCGAAACAGGCCCATTTTATCCAATGCCAGAAGATCCCGATAGCAAAGACTTTGGCTAAACTGTTTGTGCAGCATGTCTATTGCCTTCATGGTGCCTCAAAACATATAATACCTGATAGGGATGTCCAATTCACCTCTAAGTTCTGGAAAGCCTTTTTGGACCTCTTAGGTTTGGTTCAGGGACTGTCATCTACTGTAGTTACCATCCTCAAACGAATGGGGGGACAGAGCGAATGAACTCAGTTCTGGAACACTACTCTATTGTTTTATTAATCAGGACAATTGGACTGATCTATTGCCATTTGCTAAAGTGGGCTAAAACAATGCAGTACATTCCAGTACTGGGTTCACTCCTTTCCAAATAGCAAATGGCCAGTGTTTTCTTCCAATGCTTCAATTGCCAGCCAACAAACCTGCATTCCTTCTCTAAAAGAGTAGGCCCATCAATTGCAAAACATCTGGTTTGTAGTTAGGAAAGCCCTGGATGAGGCTAGGGAAGCTTATAAAGCATAAGCTGACAAGAATGGAACCTAAACCTTTCCATGTTGGAGATAAAGTTTATCTCTCCACTAGATTCTTACAATCATTGCAGCCATCAAAGAAGCTGGGGCTAAAGTTTGTTGGCCCGTTTCCTATTAAACGCATTATTAATTCTATTACAGTGGAGCTGGAACTCCCTAAGAGTTTGACACAAATCCATACAGTTTTCCCATTATAGCCTATTGAAACCTGAGGTCACCTCCAAACTACAACCTGTGACCATCCCGGCTCCCCAACCTATTATGGTTGAGAGTGAGCAACACTTTGAAATTAAGGATATTTTAGATCCTCGTAAACACCACGGGTCCACACAGTACTTAGTGGCCTGGAAAGATTTGCCTGAGTCACAGAATGAATGAGTTTATAAGAAACGTCAGGGCCCCTTGATTGCTTAATTGATTTCATGCACATTATCCAGATAAACCTGATTAATGTGGTTCTTTTTTGTTTTCCTTTTCCCCTTCCTGTTCCATTTTACTGGTGGATTTGTCTTTCTATTAGGGGAGGGCGAATGTCAGAGCCCCTCAAATATATTTGCCTTTACTTTTTCCTTTTTTTCCTTTCTTGCTTTTGCCTATGTACTTTCGGGGCCTGCTATACTGTTGTGGGAGGGTGCTTGCAGGGGGATTATTATCTATTTTGTTCTACTCTGTGCAAAATTCCCTCCCTCTTCGGGTATGAGGAATGTGATCTGAAAACATCTGCCTTATCTACAGATGAAGGCGCCTGAGACCATTGGGAAACGAAACTGTGAGAGACCTTGAGAAGCCCGCTACTCCAACTTCTCATAATACAGTGGCACCTGTGGATTGGCTGGATTTCAACCAGACGGTTGGACATTGGGGGGGGGAGTAGTTGTGAATTGCCTTTTTGATGTAATCCTTTAGGCTCCAAATCTCAGACTTTGCTTTGCTCTCTTGCCATCACTAACTCTCAATAAAAAGTTCCTTTTGCGACAATGCCTATTTCAAAAGTTCTGCTTTCTTGGGAGATCTATTTGAGGCAGGTCCGTACAGCTCCGGAAGAAACCCTATACACAGGTGTCAAATTCACATGATGTCATGTGTCACATGAAGTATTGTGATGTTTTTTGCCTTTGCGGAGCCAGGGTGGGCGTGGCCTACGCATGACGCATCCAGCCCGTGGGCTGCCAGTTTGACATCCCTGCCCTATACCATTTCAGACAAATGGTTGTCCAATCTCTTCTTAAAAACTTCCAGTGTTGGAGCATCCACAACTTCCGAAGACAAGCTGTTTCACTGATTAACTGTTCTAACTGTTAGGAAATTTCTCCTTAATTCTAGGTTACTTCTCTCCTTGATTAGTTTCCATCCTTTGCTTCTTGTCCCATCTTCAGGTGCTTTGGAGAATAGATTGACTCCCTCTTCTTTATGGCAACCCCTTAGACATTGGAAACTTTTGAAAAAGTTTGTCTTCATAAAGCAACTTATTAAGGAATGTTCAGGGTTCTGCAAGAACAGCTTAAAATAATTATTTTATGAATCTTCACTAAAAGTTATACTAGAAAAAATGTTTATTTATCACACAGTACACATTAATAGAAAAAATTTAAAATTCATAAATAACAATAGTATTTTACAGTATTTTAGTGTTTATCATGCTGCAAATAGATCTACCTTCTCTTTTCTTCTATTAGCTAAGTGAGCTTCAATTATCTCTGCAAACAGATTTCTTTTCAGCAGACTATATGCAAGAGGCAACAACTGGCTGATAATCTTGTGAAAATACTGCAAAAAAAAAAAAAAAGACAATGGTAATGGTTTTACTGAAATTGATAATGCATTTCAGAGCAACATAAAATGCTATAGTTTTTCATTTCCACCTTTTTCTCAATTTCTTAAGCACTGAAATCATTATAGATACCTATTCTCTAATGAACCTTTGTCTATAGAGATTTTCAGTCATCCAAGTCATGGTTGTCCCAAATGTGCTTTTTCAAAAGACAACTGGACTTTGTTTTTCCTTGAAGACATTTTGCTTCTCATCCAAGAAGCTTAAGTTCTGACAAGAGAAATGTGCTCAAGGAAAAACAAAGTCCAGCTGCCTTTTGAAAAAGCACCTTTGGGACTGCTGAACCTTTGGAGTCATTTGTTTCAGAGCCACATATGACAGAGACAATGATTCAGGTCTCAAACAATTACTACAGAGAAAAACATGAACTTACATGTGACCCATAGCAGAAGAGGTCTATGCCCAGTTCATATCCCATTCCATAGTCACATTCATCATTAGCAAACTGAACGAAAGTTAACATTTCCTGTATAGGAGCAAAGGCTTTCAATCTCTGGTCATCATTAGGAGCATCTGCAATGGTTTTACAAATTCTTTTGAGATTTGCTGCGAAGAAAAAGATTCCATGAGAACTATATTACAATATAGTCTAGGACTATGCAATTTTTTAAATTTTATTTTGGAGAGATGCCTTTGGGATGCACAGGAGCACAAATTGCACCTGCCTGCAATTCATTAAAGCAGCTGCAATCTGTTTCTAGGATTGGACAGTTTGTGCTTCACACTGTTTTACATTTGGAAGCATCTCTTCCAAATCAAATAAGCACTGCACATTCTCTATATACCGTATTTTCCGGCGTATAAGACGACTGGGCGTATAAGACGACCCCCCAACTTTTCCAGTTAAAATATAGAGTTTGAGCGAGAGAGAGGGGGGGGGGAGAGAAAACTTGATGAGTAATATGCCAAACCACATGTGTAAAGGAATAAAATAGAATACCCGTATTTTCCGGCTTATAAGACGACTGGGCGTATAAGACGACTCCCGACTTTTGAGAAGATTTTCAGGGTTTAGAAAGTCGTCTTATACGCCGGAAAATATAGTATTCTCTTTACAGTCAATATGTGTATTATTTTAAAAGAAAACCGCATTAATTGCATAATACAATGATGGCGAACCTTTTAGAGACCAAGTGCCCAAACTGCAACCCCAAACCCACTTATGTATCGTTGGGTGCTGGGTGGGCGTGCCCATTGGGTGGGCATGGCTGCAGTGGTAACAGCAGACTGGGTGGGACTAAAAAGTTCAACCAATCAATTCCAACTTTGCGAGATCTTTTTTCCCCCACCAAGTTGAAATTGATTGATTGATTGAACCTTTTTTTTTTTTTTGCACATGGTGGTGGAGGCCTAAAGCAAAAAGGTTTTATAAAACCCAGCTGAAGGCGTAGGACTGGGGTGATGGCATGCATGCCAACAGAGAGGGCTCTGCGTGCCATCTCTGGGACGCGTGCCACAGGTTCGCCACCACGGGCATAATATATGCTAATCTGTACCACAAATCTTCCATGATTTTGATAGTATCATATTCTGGTCAATATCAATATAAAATGGAGGTTAATTAGTATTATTTTCCATCACCTGTCTTACAACGTAAGTGTAGACGTATAACCTAAACTCCCACTAAAACCAATGAGACTTAAATCATGACAATGGTCCCACCAATTTAAAATGGAATTAAATGAAACCAATCTAAATCTAGCCTAATGAATTTCAGGACAGACATTCGGTTGTTGCTATAGCAAAGACTACTGCAATGCTTTTAATGATAGGCTCAGTGTAAGAACATCTTGTCTTAATACAATTATATGTACTATGGAATTCTGTTTTTATAAATGACCTAATTAGATAAAAACATGAGGAAAAATCTAATTACTAACTTTATGCTTATTTTTTTTTAATTTTTATTTCTGTCCACTCTCATAGACTCTGGGAAGATATTTTCATTACTTCTCTTTAAAGGCATTTGGTTATAGTCAGATGCCTAAATGCACACCATTAACAATGGCTCAATTGAAGTTTTACTAATTTTGTATTTTGAAAAAGCTATACCTACCATTTGTTTCAGGAAGCTCTCTGTATCCAACATTATTCTTATCTACAGGAACAACTAAACCACCTCCATGGAATGTCTTTGTTACTACCTGTTTTGAAAAAAAAAACACCCCTAAGTACTTTACAAACCATATCGTTAGATATTTTGTGCAAATACACTAGTCTTCAAATACCAAGCATATGTTTTGCTTTTGTTGTTTGATTAATGTCAAGCACATATTTAAATAAGGATATCCTGCTAATTTGAAAGATAAGAAAAGACTCCTAGGTAAATTTATTATTGCCTAGGGATTCCACTAATAATTATCCTCTAATGTCACCTCTCCTATCTACTATTTGTTATCAAACAAATGGTGAGCTTATTGACTAGACCAGTGTTTCTCAACCTTGACAATTTTAAGGCATGTGGACTTCAACTCCCAGAATTCCACAGCCAGCAATGCTGGCTGTGGAATTCTGGGAGTTGAAGTCCACATGCCTTAAAATTGTCAAGGTTGAGAAACACTGGACTAGACAGTAGTTGGCAAATTAAGTGGGCCTAAGAGGAATAATTTATCAAGGCTGCATCGTATTTCCTGACAAGCAACCAAATGCCCTATTGAAGAAGAAAAGCTAACTCTGGCTGCATCTCATAACCACAAGAACAAGTTATCTGCGTTCAGAACAGTAGGATTTTATTTACTTCTCAATTCATGCAACAAAAACAATGGTGACAAATTCAATGAGAATGCTGGTGATTTTACTTGCAAGATGGCTATAAAAAGTTTTAAGGAGCTCTACCACCTTTGTGTAGATTCTTGTGGAAAAGGCAATTCACCACTAGAAAGAATTTAGCTGATCTTGTGCAGATATAATGGTGACAGATGTTCATCTATTTATTGTTAGTGAAATATAACAAACAACCATCCTACAGGCAATCCTCATTTATCAACCACAGTTGGAACCAGCAACTTGGTCATTAGGTGAAGTGGTTGCTAAGCTTTTACTGAGTACTAGTTTTAATGTTTGTAAGCTACGCTGCCCAGAGTTGTCTCAGATGAGATGGGTGGCACATAAAATTTAACAAATAAATAAATAATAAATTGTGCGTATAATTTTACTTCAGCTTTCCTTTGCTTTACATATCTGCAAAGGTCATAAATGTAGGAGCTAGTTGCAAAGTTATTATATCATCACCTTCGTAACTATGAACAGTCATTAAACGACTACTGGTAATAACTATAAAATATAAAAATCTTTATACACAATAGTGATTTAGATAAAATAAACAAAAAATCCCAAATTCCATATCATGGAAAGATAATATACATTTATATGTTGGTTACGTTTCCCCCTCCAAATTGTATTAACATATGCTATAGTTTGAAACCAATGTAAAACACCAAATCATAAAGAATCCTTAAATTTGTTACAATGTCAGCCCAGAAAATCTGATATCCAAATCTAAATATTATCTGGAATCCAATAAACATAAAATAAATATTTTTTGATTAATTACATTCTTAAATCATACGTATATTTTACATTTTTAAGACTGGATGGGAACTGAGAACTAAAGTTTTTCACCCCATTTCTGATAGAATATGCCTTAAAGTTATATATAATGTTTAAAGCATGCTTGTTTCAATTTCCTTTTACTGTGCTGACCCCAAGAATTAATTGTGATTCTCTGATTTGGTAAGAGACTTAGGAGTAAACATATTTTAGCACAAGCCAGGAAAAAGATAAATGTTGTATTAGAGTTTACTGAGTTTGTAAAAATCAAATCTTACCTTCTTATCTCGCTGTTTCATCTTCAAGCTTTTTTGTTCCAGCGAGTAACCCAATTGTTTTGCTGTTTTAGTTAGTTTTTCATCTGTGTCTCTTAATAAGCCACTTCTCTTTTTATTAGTCAGGTCTTTAAGCTTTTTAGACAAAAATAACCTGAAACAAAAGAACACAAATCTTACAGTTCTTTATCTTGAATAGATTCAAACATGCCTTTTATTAGCTAACAGAAGCACTTCAAAACAGTACAATTAATAGAAATCCCAAAGGTTGTTGCTATGTGTAGCAGAATAGACTTCTAATGATCAGAAGTGCTTGCAAATTATCAGAAGTACTATGAAAAAGTTATAAAGAGATGGAAACATTTTTCATGTAATTCTATGAAAAGAATTTTACCAATGACTAATAGCTGTTTCTAAACGAACAGGCACCAGATAAAGTGTTCATCCTTTCATATCCATATCAATTTATAAAGATTATTTGATTTACATCAGCTAATTTAATTTTCAAATAGCCTAGAATCAGGATGTCGATCTATTTCTATACTGTAACAGGACAAAGTTTTGATAATAACCTTCTCTTTAATTTTTTTTAAAATTGTATGCTGCTGCCTTTGAAGACTAAGTTTTCCCAGGAGAGCTTTTATATTAAAATAGTAATTAAAAGATAAAATATATACGTAAAACAACCCCGTAATTAGACTGATTCAAAAATTTTCTGTGAAACATACACTCTTAAGAATCACATTTTATGCTAAGCTGAGATAAACAAAAGCCAATAACAATATTAAAAAAGCTCGGTTATACGTATTTGTCAGTAAACTGCTAAAAATGTGGCTGAATATATTTTGGAGCAAATAGCTGGAAAACTGATACTAAAATCATTTTTCACATCACTATGTTCAGAAAGAATTATTAAATATGGAAACTTATATATACATCCTCCAATATTCCAAAACAAACCTGAATATAAACTATGTGCAAGTTTCTTATAATGCTTTAATGAACAATGCAATCCATAGAAATGTAACAGAAAAGCAGAATCCAGTCATATTTTGAAAATATTTTGCAGATTAAAAATATTACATGGCTGTCCAAAATATTCTCAAATTAGTATATAGCAGTAAATAACATGTATCTAAACTAGTCTACTGAGCTATTTGAAAAAGAAATTTGGGAACCAAACTAAGCAATATTCCACCATTAAATTCTGAGCCAAGTACAAATTCCTGTCATAAATAAAACAGAAGTGCAGCAACTTTTTCTGGATCATGAGACTAGATTTTGACTTTCATAAACAGGGACTATATTGCAACAAACTTTTTTACAAGGATTTACAGGATTCTGTTAACAGTGACTTATATTCAAACTATTTTAAAAGAGACAAGAATAAGCTTCATCCTAGTACTTCACCCACAAAATCATTTTCTCAAAGTAAGAACATGTACTGAAGTGGCAAGGAGTGTATTTTCCCAATTCAAGTGGTACAGAGCTACATAGCATTAGCTATATGTGAGTAAAAGGGAAAAAAAACCAATCCCTTCAAACTGAGACTGCTATTTCCAAATTAACCTCTTTTTAAAGGATGAAAATATTAAATTCTTACTTTACAGCAGCAAATATATTGTCACCAACTTGATAAATTGTATAGCCTTTCTGGGTTTCAGTTTCACCAACCCACACTGGCAGTTGATCTGGTATATCCCTATAAAATATACAAGATATTTAGAACTGAACACATTTTAAGAATTAGAGCTGAAGCAGCTACGTTAATGTAGAGAGATTTCTCAAACACTATTTTTCCTACCCATAAAAGTATTTTAAAAGATAAATCACATATCAACTCCGGATATATGCAAGACCTACCCTTCAAACTGAAAATTTTTAAATTAATTTTTCAAACTGTAAATATTTCGTGTTTCAGACATGGGATTCCAATCAGAACATCATAAATTGCTTCCAGATCAGATGATTACTTTATGAAATCTACTTGACTACCCCAACACAGCTGGATCAGCATTGTCAGGAGGATGACTAGACTGAAAATTTACAATGTATCTAATAAGATCACAAATTTTATCAAGAATTATAGTCTTAATTAAAAAATATAAAGACAATATAGGTGAAAGCCTTGCAATTCACTACATTGGAAAACATAACTTTTTATGGAGAACAAATTTTACAAAAATACATCCGCAATGCCTCTACATAATAAACATTTTGTATAATGAAGTCAGTATAATAATGAAAATAAATTCTATTGTCTTGAATAATTCTAAATTTATAAAAGAAAAAATCTTTTTTAAAACAGTAAAATGAACTTTGAAAGCTAAGTTGTCTAAGTCAAAACTGGATGATAAGAAATACAATCTAGCAAACATACAATAGATTTTGAAGATACCAACTCTAAATTCACCGGGAAAATAAATCAAAAATTCCCAAAGGCAAAATGCCTTTTATTCTATTCCAAAATATTCTTGGCAAGTACATATGAATTAAACATCCTAATGTCACACCAAGACAGACAACACAACCTTTGATTATCTCAAAAAAATTATGTTAGAAATGTTTTTCAACTTTATATCCTGCTGAATGAAAAGATCTTAGAAAGGAAATCCCAGTAATGCTCTGCTCATTGTTTTAAAGCAACAGCAGGAAGAAGAACATTAAAGAATTATATCTCCTCTTCAGGGCCAAGGTATTTCTTACCTAAAATATCCCATATGAAATTGTGTTTTATTGTCTCCAACAATAATTGTCTGAAATTCAGGAGGATCATAAAAAAATCTCCAGTGAAGATTAAAATTTATTTCTTTTGATTTATTAGTATTGTGTTTTCCAGAAAGAATGTCATATGGTCCAACAAGCTGAAGTCCAATACTTGATTTGAGAGCATCTACAACATAAAAACACCTATTGTTTCATGATAATAACTGTCCATACCAAATATATATTTAAAATTATTTAAAAGGTGCTATTGTTTTTATTTATTTGGCCACTATCCTTTCTGCTTCTAGGATTAATGGAAAGGTTGCATCTAACACTTGCTTTGAATTCACTTTCTCATTAAGCTCACAAAATAAAGTACTATTTAATTATTCTATTCAAACAGATTCCTGACAAACCTAGCAGACAACTTTGTCTCCCAAAAAGTAGAAAAGGAACTAGGGATTAGCCATTTTGGATCTAATTCTTACTAACAGAGATGAAATGATAGAAGGCGTAAAAGCAACAGGAACCTTGGGGGGGGGAGTGAACATGCAATATTGGAATTCAACATTACGGAAGCACAAGCAATAGAACACAGTCAAACTAGAGTCTTGGACTTTAAGAGAGCTAATTTCAATAAACTTAGAAAAGAAGCTTGGGAAATTTTGAAAAGTGAGATAATAAAAGTCTAGCACAATACCAACAAAGAAGAAAATTAACAGCTCTCAAAAGAAACCAGCATGGCTGCATAAAGAACTCTCTGATAAATTGAAAGATAAAAAGGACAAGTATAAAAAGTGAAAGAGGGGAACATAACTAAGGTAGAACATCAGCAAATAGCCCGAGCCTGCAAAGATGAAGTGAGGAAAGCTAAGGCTCAAAATAAACTAAGGCTTGCAACCAAAGTAAAAAATAACAAAAAATGCTTCTTTCAACATGTAAAAAACAAGAAAAAAGTGAAGGAAATGATTGGTCCATTAGTGGGGAAAGTGACAAGGTGACAAGCAACAGGGAGAAAGCAGAACTATTTAACTTGTTTTTTGCATCTGTCTTTACACAAAGGGAAAAAACAGACCAACCTATCAAAAATAGTGCCATAAGAAACAGAATAGAAACACAAGTTAAGATAGGCAAGAAAAACGGTAAGTGAGCACCTGTCCAGCCTAGACAAGTTCAAATCACCAGGACCAGATGGATTACACCTCAAGGTTCTCAAGGAAGTGGCAGATGTGATCTCAGAACCACTGAACTATATTTTTCAAAGATCCTGGAGCACTGGGGAACTACCAGGGGACTGGAAGAGAGCTGATGTACTTCCCATCTTCAAAAAAGGAAAAAAATGGATCCAGGAAATTACAGACCTATCAGCCTGACCTCAATACCTGGGAAGATTCTGGAAAAGATAATCAAACAACGAATCAGTGAACACCTAGAGGCAAACAAAGTCATTACTAAAAGCCAACATGGGTTTGTCAAAAACAGATCATGCCAGACAAATCTTATTGCATTCTTTGACCAAGTGACAAAATTAGTGGACCAGAGGANTGGACGAGGGGATAGATGGGGAACTGATCAAATTTACAGAGGACACCAAGCTGGCAGGAATAGCCAACACTCCAGAAGACAGACTTAAGATACAGGAGGATCTGGACAGACTTGAACATTGGGCACTAGCTAACAAAATGAAATTCAATGGTGAAAAAAGTAAAGTTCTACATTTAGGCAAGAAAAACCAAATGCACAGGTATAGTATAGGGGATACCTTGCTCAATAGTAGTAACTGTGAGAGGGATCTCAGTCCTAGTGAACAATCACTTAAATATGAGTCAGCAATGTGCTGCAGCTGCCAAAAAAGCCAACACAGTGCTAGGCTGCATTAACAGAGGGATAGAATCAAGATCACGTGAAGTATTAATACCACTTTATAATGCCTTGGTAAGGCTACACTTGGAATACTGCATCCCGTTTTGGTCACCACGATGTAAAAAAGATGTTGAGACTCTAGAAAGAGTACAGAGAAGAGCAACAAAGATGATTAGGGAACTGGAGGCTAAAACATATAAGGAATGGTTGCTGGAATTGGGTATGTCTAGTTTACTGAAGAGAAGGATGAGGGGGGGTGTATGATAGCAGTGTTCCAATATCTTAGGGGCTGCCACAAAGAAGAGGGAGTCAAGCTATTCTCCAAAGCTCCTAAAGGCAGGACAAGAAGCAACAGATGGAAACTAATCAAGGAGAGAAACAACCTATAACTAAGGAGAAATTTCCTGACAGTTAGAACAATTAACCAGTGGAACAACCTGTCTCCAGAAGTGGTGAATGCTCCAACACTGGAAGTTTTTAAGAAGAGAATGGACAGCCATTTGTCCAAAATGGTATAGGGTTTCCTGCTTGAGCAGAGGGTTGGACTAGATGACCTCCAAGGTCACTTCCAACTTTATTATTATTATTATTATTATTATTATTATTATTATTATTATTATTACTACTACTACTACTACTACTACTACTACTACTACTACTACTACTAGTATTATTATTATTATTATTATATAGCTGCTTAGCTCACCACACTGACCCCGGGCAGCCAACAACAGTTACAGTATAAAACACAACCAACAATGAAAATAACATAGAACCATCAGTCAAGGCAAAAACAAAACAAACTTCAATTAACATAACTACCTCCCGGTCATGTTACACAAAGGTTGGAGAAAATAAAGACTTTGTTACTAAAACAAAAGTATGGGACCTCTAATCTACATTATATGAAAAGTTCTGGGTTTGATTATTATGTTTCCTACAACCAGTTTTAAATACATAAAAGTAAATATATTGAATATGCAAAACAGTTATTGTTTTCATATAATGTATGCTTTTAAAAAAGAACACCTATCTATAATTCTCGCTGTTCTCAAAGATTAGGGTCAAATCCTTAAAAAACCAAAATTGCTTTGTCCATGCAGAGAACTATAGTTCAGCCGTGTGTGTGTGTGTGTGTGTGTGTGTGTGTGTGTGTGTGTGTGAGAGAGAGAGAGAGAGAGAGAGAGAGAGAGAGAGAGAGAGATTATTAGAAATAAGCCAAAAAAGTGAAGGATAAATACATTTTATATTACATGTGGAAAGGACTACTAGTGATATTAAATAATATCAAACCACAGTATGAACCAAAGCATTCTTCTAGACCACCAGAAGGAACTGAAAGACATTGTGTTATGGTGGTTTCCCTCTGTTCTTTGTGGTCAAGTCCAATATGTATTGACAGGAAGAAGTCAAGTGAGCCAATCAGGCACAGTTGGCATGTTCCAGATCTCATCAATTAAGCAATGTCACCTAAGAAGTGTACCTTCTTGGTCACAACACCTTCTAGAGAGCTATTTCCTCCCCTCCATATTGTCTTCACCCTAGTTATGTTCAAAAGAGCATTGAAAATCTGGTTCTTTCCACAGGAATTGGGTTAAAGTGGGTGGGAAGTTTGTATTTTAATGTCTGTTTTTCTGGAGGGGGATGGGGGTAGACTTGTTTATTTTAATTGTATTACTTTTACTGTATGTCACCCAGAATCATTATACAATTGGGTAGCCTCATAAATTTCTAAAATACCAGAATTTTGAAGATATTGTTACGCCTAAAATAAAATTGTACACAAACACAAAAATATATCTATTTATCTATATATCTACACACAAAAAACACTCATATAAAGAAGATAAACATTTAAGACCTACCACATGGCTTGTCAGGTTCCAATTCCTCACAGAATTTCCAGAAATGATAGAAGTCTTCAGGCATCTTGAGCCGGTAATAGCTTTCAATTTCTTGGCGAATACAATCAGAGACATCTGCTGTGCCAGCTTGTACATTTTTTACTTCTTTAATGCTTTCACCCTACCAGTAAACAGAAAATCAAGGAAGAAATAAGTTCATACATTTATCATTTTAAGACAAGGAAAAGAAGCCAAAAGTTGAATGTAATCTGTGGGCTAACTTCTGATCTGTAGCATATAAAGTAGTGCAGTAAGGAGTAAATAAGCAGCAAAGTGAATATATACAATTCTCCATATTGTTTATGTGCAACTGTTTACAGATTCAAACTAAGAAAAAAATATGCTAAGTTAAAGGAAGTTCTATCCTAGGAAATCCCTGCTTCTAAGTAACAAGTGATGAGACCAAAACACTTTGTATGAATTAATATCATTTGTTATTGTATCAAAGATCCTGAGGATGGGAGATGATACTAGAATAGTATTTTGAACTATTGTCTGTCCCAATAGTTGAAGGACACAAAACCTCCAGATCTTGGATAGTGTGGGAATGGAGATGGGGAGATATTACTGATACCTGTTTTTGTGCTTCTGCATGACATCTCTGCTTCCTACCTCCAGCCATTCTGGTACCTGTTGTGACCATTGCTATATTCTGTCTTTTGCGATTGTAACATTTCCCAAGTTCTCCTTGTGATGCCATTGCACAAAAGTTTCTATGTCAATCAAGAATAGAAGAAGATAAGACAGGGCATGCATATTGCAATCTGGGTAGCTAATAAAGGTTAAAGATTTTGGTACAAAAACTAATAAAGGAGCAAGCAACACATTGTAGTATTGCTCATAAACTGTTAAGTTCATAATTTGATGTTTACTTTTAAGCAAGTACTACTGAACTGAATGGGAGCTTCCAGAAAACATAGGGATATGTTGTGATTTTAGACATATTCTTGCTGAGGAATAGGCCTCATATCTTATATAGGAAAACTGCATTAAACCAATGCTTCTAACTACTATTGTAATAATATGCTAGATATTTATATTGCTAGGTTCAAAATAATTATATGGAGCATTTTCCATTTTGATTCCTTCAGATAAATTGATTCCAACTCTCACTATCCTGAAACAGCATAATCATAATGATTAGAAACAGGTGTTTTAGTTAACATATTTGGAATGAATCAGATTTAGCAAACATGTTTTAAATAGGTAAAATAATAATAAGCTGACTATGCCCTGAGAATATCTTTAAAGTAAATTACACTTTTGTACTTTTCAAAGTAAGCTTCCCTGAACTCTGTAGAATTTCTATCAAAGCAAATATAAATTTCTATAGAGCAAATACTTTATTATATCAGTCATAAACCTCAACAGTGAGAAAGGCAGACTTGTTTGCACCACAAAAAAATAAAAATGAAAATGAAAATGCCAGCAAACTCTGTTGAGAGCGGCTGTTCTGACCTCCTGACCATCAGTGCTAATAGAGGCAAGAGGAAAGAAAAAAGCTCAAATCGAACGGATTGGAAGTAGCTGTAAAGAGGAGCTGTGTTAATAAGCCTGTTGTAGCAAGCTCATTTGAAAACTCTGTGGTACCTTAAAGGTTCACCTGAAGACTAGCGTGTAGTCACAGGTGTGTGTGCATATACAGTCATGCGTGTGTTCATCTTTAAGGCAC